GCTGCGAATTGTCCAAATTATCTACGATCGGAGTTGGAATTTTTAAGACTTTAGCAGACAGAAAGTGTGTGATGCGAAATTTGGCTATCAGTTGTTATGACAGTTACGATTCTTACAGAGTAAAAGAGGTCAAATTTTGTAAAAATAATATGTTTTGACCGTATTTGTAAAAATGTTAGCTGATTTATTGATTCTCTAACGTGCTTGACAGTTTAGCCAAAAAAATGATTGTATTTTTCGGTGTAATTTCCGCAGTCGATTCATCGAGAGTCTTTACGCAACACAAAATTGAGATCTAAATTATTTATGTGAAAGGTTTCATAAAAGTAAGAAAATATGATTATATCTGCTCACATTAATTTTTTATAACTTATATTAATAGTTATATATTTGTTTTAGAAAGAAATATAACATCTATATTTTCATTGTTTAACAGTATAATAATTATCTTCATATATTTCAGATAAATTTAATGATCCCATGGATGCGTGATCAAATAGCAGAAGCCTGGCATAACAGAAAAAGTTCAAGGACGGCTGATAAGCGGTCCTTGGCCCTTTCTTCTGTCGGCACAGGCAATGCTACAAGCAATGACACTATGCTTACACCATTACCTACCTCACCTGAAAACTTTTCCATCAACGTTATCAGGTTTGAATTCATGTTTGATATCACAGAAATCTTGCCAGATGTTTAATTAATCAAATCTTTTTGTACAGCATAGAGGGCAATGTATTAGATGTTGCAATAAAACCAAACTTTACTGTGGAAAATATTAAGAAAATAGCAGTGGTACATTTTTATGGTCAAGATACAACCAAATCTATCTCAAACTATCGCTTAGTTCATTCAACCAAATTTGTACAGCTTAAGGATGAAAATTATGTAAGCGACGAGGATATTAATGAATATGGTATAATTATTTATATTAAGTTATTTATAGATTTATAATATAATTATTTTTTCGATTAATTTTTAATTTGTATACATACTTATTGTGTACTTGTTTTTTTAACACAATAATTTGTTTTTACAGATGAATTATTATTAGTAGAAATACGATCACAAGAAGAGTCATCGGATGAAGATCTTAAAGGTCCAAGTTTAGAAGCAATAGCTCAAGCTACAAGTGATCTACCTAGTGTACGAAATCCACCTAAGCCTGTGCCATCTATAGAATGCCCTGCGGATGTAAATATATTTTACATACTTTTATTTATCATACTATTTTACGTCTTTATTGTTTCTTGTAGTTCCAGAATGAAATCCGTAAGATTTTAATAACTCTTGTACAAGCATCTGCAAAGATCTTGATGTATAGTCCTTATGCTGAAAAATTATATGACGATATTAAGGAGAAACTTGAAATTAGATGTAATCCTATTAATGATCTGAAAGTCGTAAAAAGTCTTGTAGAAATGGGTTATCCTCATAAGAAAGTTCTCAAAGCGTTACGTCTTCGAAAGCAAGTATCGTAGTAATGTTTTTATCATATTATATATGTATGTGACGAATAATACTATAGAAGAGTATGCTTCTGTTTTAGATCGAATATGACAGAAGCTTTAGAATGGCTTATAGAACATCAGGATGATTCAGATGATGATTCAGATGATGAAATAGATTTCTTGCCTGCGAATATAATGACAAACACAGATATTGCAAATCCTAGTTCTTCAATGAACACTAAGAAAAAGTCATTTAAAGAAGCATGTTTGGAACTGTTCAAAGGTAATTCTTACACAAAATTGAAATATCCGTTATTATTTCGAAAAAAATTCAAGTTGAAAGCAAATAAAACATATGAAAAAAGATAACATTAGATTATTTAAAATGTCTTAACTTTAAAAGAAAAACAGAATCAAGAAGAAAAAGATCTGGTATATATCGTAGAATTATTATTGCAAAGTTTTCGACAATGGAAAAGAATGGAATTTAAACCTAATAAGAGAGCAATGCGATCGCTTGTAGAAATGGGCTTTGAAGACAAAAATGTTATAGGAGCATTGAAAGTTACTGGAAATGATCAGGCTAATGCTGTAAGTTGTAATGGTTGTACTAAAGATGTATATTTAAATTATATTTTTATTTTATATCTCTCGAGTTTTATATCTTTTGTGACAGTGTGAATGGCTGCTGGGCGAAAGAAGACGTAGTTTACAAGATTTGGATGAAGGCCTCGAATCCGATGGTCTAATTTATAAAGCAATTATGACTAATCCTCATATTCAGCTTAGTCTTACAAGACCAAAGATGTTGCTTGGTAAAATGAAACAATAAAAAAAAAGTAATAAATTGTAATCATGTTTCCTAACATTTTTTTTTATTTCTTTCAGCATATTTGTCAATGATAGAAACACCTGCTTCGGCAAATATATGGATTAACGATCCTGAAATTGCACCTGTGCTTAACCAAATATCCAAGACATATCACACTGAAAAACATGCCATTCATATGAATCGTTATACCTAATATTAAAACTTATTTGCGTCTCTGTGGAATATTCATATTTTTATATAAATTTATAAATAATTTTTGCAGAGATTTGGAATATCAATTATCAGTTAACGATCAATAATAATTATTGCAATTTTAATTATGTTATATAATTATATAATTATAACTAATTATAGTTATAATTATAGTCATCGCTAGTTAAAGAATGCTTATATTTATGAAGGTCTCATGTGATATCAATGCAATATAACATGCTATTAATCATATATAATTTTCTACATAGTGCTGATTGCTTTTGTACAAATTGCCTGTTGACAGTTCTTAAAGAAAGGAAATGTATTTTAATATATATTAAAAAAAGAATTGTTATTTTAATGTGTAATATAAATTCTTACAATAAAAATTAAATTCCATTCTGCAGATCGAAAACTAGTCAATGCTAATACTACAAATTGTTATAAAATCTAGATTGCAGTTTTAAATTTTTGTCCTAGCCTTTTAAAATAAATATATTAATTATAAGTTTTAAGAAGTTAAAGATTTTCACATTTGTGTTTTATGTGGTTCTAAGTATTCGTGTTTTTAAAAAATATTTATTCTGAGGCAAAAATCATGGCGCTCTCATTAATCGTTGCTTTTCGTTAGTATCTCTTTCCTCATCTTTAATTATGTAACCAGGTGCACAAATATTTCCAGTAAGTAGATAACGTCCATATCCTCAATTAAAATTTTTTTTCCATTCTCGGTATAAACTCCACGTCATAAATGCGTTAACGCGTATATAATTTTGAAAAAAATTTTATATCTGTAAAAGAAAAAATTGTTATACAAAAATTATTGTGTTTAGTCGATAAAGTAGATCCTTTCTTTTTCTTTCCCTGGATGATTTTCTGACTTTTCCAATGAAAGTCAAAGTGCCAGAATGTCATATTGATCCATAGATCAACCCAGAGCCTTTTCGAGCAGACTCATTTTAGTTACTTGTTAAAAAACAGATAACTTTAAGATCGTAAATTGTCTATTAGGTTAAGGAAAAAATTTAAAAAAAAAAAACAAATTGAAGCATAATTGAAACATGTTTTTTTAATTTATTACAATTAATTTTTTACAAACCTTTTATTAAACCAAATATGTGTCATTTTGATCAATGACTTTTTGTCATTTTTCAGGTAGAGCCATTATTTCATCGATGTAGAACATTTCTGATTTCTCGGTAAAAAATTGGGATAAACGATTTTCGCAGGTCTCTTTTGAAATCAAATTTACTTTTACTTCATTAAGGAAATTTTGCAAAAACTGAAACAAATGGTAATCAGATGATGCAAGGTCAAGACTATAAGATGGATGCATCAAAATTTCCCAGTCAAATTTTCTCAATTTTTGTTGAGTCATTAAAGACGTGTTATTATGATGGAAAACAATATCTTTTCTATCGTTCATTTTTTTGTTCAATTCTGGTCGCTTTTCCTGATTGCTTCAATCGCTGACAATAGAGATCAGACTGTTGCCTGGTGGCAGCAGTTCACGATAGACGACTCCTTTCCGGTCCCATCAGACACAGCATCACCTTCTTTGGCATCAATCCGACTTTGCATTATTATCACATGTTATCCACTTTTCATCGCCCATTATCAATTTTTTCAGAAAAGGCTCAATTTTGTTTCGTTTCAGCAACGATTCGCAAATAGAAATTTAATCCATTAAATTGTTTACCGTCAAATCATGTGGCACCCAACATTCTTTGTATATCCAACCTTATGCAATGTCCCAAAACGGTTTTGGGTTTTAATCAATATTTAGCTCCTTAGCTAACATAGCTGCTTTTCTTTAACTTTTTGCAAGATTTCATCATTTTCCACAATAGACCGATCAGAATGATATGCATCTTTGACATCAAAATTTCCATCTCGAAATCGGCGAAATCAATTCGCTGCTGTTTGTCTCGTTAGCATTCTCTCCATAAACACAAATTTTTTTCTGTAGCTTTCGCAGCGGTCTTACCTTTTTTATAATAAAGAAATAAAATAATGTTCTTGATTTACACTCATTTTTTTAATTTGGTTGAATGCGTCAGTATCGTTCAAATTTATGATCAATCTATTTCAAAATGTTATATAAAATACTTTTTCAACGATACATAACTTAATATATCTTCTTCAGGCTGCAATCCATTTCAGTCCATTTGTTTCTTTCAAATGTTCTGAATGCTACACTCTAAACATTATACTCTGATTAATTCATGCTCGGTCCTCATACAGGCAACAGCCTTTCACATCGAATGCTGATTGATGAAAAACGGGTGATGGAGGTAAATTTTATCCTCACAACCGACTTTTCACCTATCAGCGCTCTATGTCAAAGCGTTCAGCAGACTCAACAGTTGAGTGAACGCTCGCTGCTATTGATTCTTCTAGATCTAAAATTCTGATTGGATGATCTTTACGAAACAATCAAAACTGCGAACACTCACTCAACTGTTGAGTCTGCTGAAGCGCTCAATAATGGCACGTAAAAAATCGACTAGATCGCCATCTGTCGGCTATATATAAAAAGACTTTTTCTAACCAAGTATATTCGACAGCGCCATCATCAGCATCAGACCACCAGTCGGCGCTACGAAAATATTTTTGACAGCTGATTTTGTCGCACGTGTTTTACTCAAAATTTTCGTTAATAATTGTTAATAATGGTTTATTATTTTACTAGCGAAGGTAATTTTGCATTTCTAAGACCTTGATTTTTTTAAAAAGATTAATACATATTCTCTTACATATTCTCTTAAATTATTAATAATAATATTTTGTTATCATTAAGAAACTTGACTAATTATCATAATCTTGAATTGCAGTTGTGCAACCACCCATTACTTTATTTATGGGAATAGACAAATTTGAGAGTAAGTGGAAAAATCATTTGTAATTATTTATCATAATTAATAAAAATTTGTGCATAATCTAAAATATGATTTATTGGATTCTGTTTGTATAGATGAAGATCTTATTAAATGGGGTTGGCCTGAGGATGTGTGGTTTCATGTTGACAAATATTCGTCTGCCCACGTGTATCTTCGACTTCGACATGCAAGTTTAATTATTATAATTAGTAATTTCCTGCTTTTGATATTAAAGAATGATACATTAATTCTTTTTGAAATTACAGGGTCAGACAATAGATGATATTCCTAGTACTGTATTAGAAGATGCTGCACAATTAGTAAAAGCAAATAGTATCGAAGGAAATAAAATGAATGATGTTGATATTGTGTACACAATGTGGTCGAATTTGAAAAAGACACAAGGTATGGAAGTCGGACAGGTTGGCTTTCATAAGGATAAAGATGTTCGTAAAATTCATGTTGCTAAGCGAGTAAATACTATCGTGAATCGTCTTAACAAGACGAAACGTTCAGAACAAGTAAACTTAAGAAATGAAAGAGAACAAAGAGATAAGAATGAACGAGAAGATAAGAAGAAGCTTATGAGAGAACAGAAAGAGAAAGAAAAGGCAGAAGAAAAGCGACGTCAGGAAGAAGCAGAGATGAGGTGAATCATTTTATAATAATATATCAGATATACTTCTATTAAATAATTATTAATATTAAGTAATTCTTTATGAAAAATTATTATTAAAAAATTACTTTTCAGGAGTTACAATTCCCTATTTAATACATCTAACATGACTTCAAACACAGAAACCAGTGGATATGACTCAGATGATTTCATGTGATGAAGTTGATACTTATATTTGCGGTCCGTGCCTCATTCTCTATCATTTCCAGTAAAAGGAGAAAATTTCAGAATAAAAAGTGTAAAATATCTCTTTCAAGTACGATTATTTATTTGATTTATATTTTGCAAATATTATATTTGCAAAATTGTAAAAATATGTAATTGTAGAATCAGTGTACACTATGTTTATATAATAGAAGATTGTTTTGTCATTCAAAAATTTCTAAAACATACTGTGTAACCATAACATGCTATGCTGACAAATAATATTAACAGTTCTTGCAACAGTATTCACATTAATAGCTCGCAAGTACTTGGATATATTGCTATGATTTCAATACAATGAAAAAAATAAGTTATAAAAATAAAATACGGGAATAAGTTATAAAAATCTTCGTGTAGACAGAAAAAAAATATATTGTCTAGAGAAATATGTAGCAATACAATGGTATCCTTTTTTATAATAGGGTAACATTGACAGCCTGTAAAGCATTAATTATCCATGTTGGATAATCTTTATTTGGATAAACTATTAACATATAGTCTTGTATAAATCTAGGGAATCTTTGTTCTTTAATACTGTCTCTGATATCTTGCATGAGCTTCATTTGAAATGCAATATTGTGAACGGTTAATAGATGACACGATACTGTTTCTACAGTGGCGATTTGATGTAGATAAGCGCGAGAATAAGTCTTGCAAGTATTACACTCGCACGATTCGTCTATTGGTTTCAAGTCTTTTTTATATTGTATTTGCTTCAAATTGAGCTGTCCCGTTTTTATCAACGCACAACCAAATCTCTGAAAGTTTTAATTTAATGTTTTGAAATTTCCATCTTCTATGCAATCAAATATGTATTTTATGAAATACTTACAGCAGTTCTTGTCGGAAATACACAATCGTACATATCGATACCTAATGCACTGCATATGATTAAATCTATTGCGAATCCAACACCCATAAGATATCGTGGTTTATTCTTTGGAAGGATATTCGTTGATAAATGGACCATTCTCCAAAAATCATCTTTGCTCTCACCGCCACTGAAATCATTATAAGAATCACTATTGTATTATGTAAGATTTAGATATTTCTGTATTATACAAAAATTTATATTTATCTAACTATATGTATATCAACAAATAATCCAGTATCTACCTCAAACCTCCTACAGCATATCCATTCACCTCCCGTTTAATTAATTGACGTGCGCATTCGGATCGTAGTTCGGGATTGAGACCACCTTGTACAATTGGAAATATACTCTGCTCATCTAGTCTTTCATGCGCTAACAAACAACGGTCCAACCAACGTATCGTTCTGAAATGGTTTGTGTTAAACATAACACTCGTTTAAGCCAGGTTATTTAGAATATATTATTTAGAAAATATTTACAAAAATAATTACCTATGCATTGCTTCTTCTACTCTTGGTCCGGTTAAAGTACTACTAACAACATCATCGAGCTGCATGATTATGTCAGCTCCAATTGCATTTTGAATTTGAATAGAATGTTCGGGTGTCAACATACATTCAGATTCTAGATGAAACGTTATTGTAAACATTATTATAGGTAATTAAATTATGTATAAGTTATGTTTGAATGTATTTAAAAATATATCTCTCTAGCTATATATATCATAGTACCATTGTATGGTGATTTAAATTTTACACCTTCTTCTGTTATTTCAGCTAATTGTAATAATGAAACCATTTGGAAACCACCTGAATCCGTTAATAAAGCTCTTTTCCAGTTCATAAATTTGTGCAAACCTCCAGCTTTACGTAGAATATCTGCACCCTACCAATATATATAAAGTATATATTTTAATACATATATATTTTAATACAATCGAAATTACATTTAAAAAAATTTACTAATAAATCTAAAACTCTCTTTGACTGTTTTATTAACCAATATTTTTTTTCTAATGATAATGCATGATTTCTTACAGGTCTGTTTCCAAGATGATAGGTATTACCAAGAATTATTTGGCAATCCAGTTGCTCCAGTTGTTGGGGCAACAATCCTTTCAATGTTCCCTGAAAATGATGTAATAACAAATTTAATGTAACTTTAAATCGTTGCGTCCAAGATGTTCAAAATCACTCCAAGATTCAGAAAGAATTGAACAATCACATTGATCAGATTCAATTGTTTAAATATGATTTATTAATTCTCGTCCAAAACGTTAGAATGATTTTTAGCATCGTGAATATAAGGCTTTATAATTGAGTCATATATTTCAAAAATCTAGATTTTTAAGTTAAATATTTATTTTAATTCAAAAGAAAATATCGAAGCAAATTAATCATTATAAAGCATTGATAGACAAAAAAAGTTCATTTACAAATTAAATTATGAATGTACACACACAAGTGAGATTCTATTAATACAATTTACTACAATTGCAAGAATCGTAAACTTAAAACAAAATTTAGTTTCAGATGTTACCAAAATGTTTAATACTGAAAATTAAGAAATTATCAGAGTTATCATCTTTTCATATGGATTTTAAATCAAAAAAACTTAATATTTTAATATGTTTCTCACACGGTCGTGTCTCACACTTTGTGTGTAGCTTAAACAAGAAGAGAAGTTTTATGAACCTGAGTTCCCACCGGCATGAACACCGGTGTGTCTACATGATGATGAACAAGTGTCATCCTGCCAGTTCTGGCTTTTGTGGTTTTGCATTCGGCAAGCACTTCAAAGATTAACGGAGTCTTCCGATTTGTCATTTCTACTGGCGATCTACTAAATCCTGCGTTTATCGTCATGGAATACGACTTGTAAAAAAATTTGCTGGACATAGAAAGAAAAATTTATAAATGCCGCATGCTTAAAATGAGAGGTTACATCATGATATTCTCTCCACGTGTTTTTGTCCCGGCCTGAAATGTGTGTTCTGTGGATGTGGACTTACGGGACACCCTGTATATTAATGTGCGTGCAAATAGACTTGCTAACCGCGTCGCACATTCGAATTGAAAAAGGCATAAGTACTCGATAATTGCAGATGTTTGCGCTATGACGACCTGGCACGGTGTTGATACACGAAACATCACCTTCAGGAGAGATTTGCTCCGTGATAGTGTTCGACGGTAACGGTTAGCTGGCAACATGAAGACTGAGGTATCCTGGAAGCGACGTCTTCTGCGAAAGAAGATCAAGTATATGCTGGTATGCGTCCTTGTAGTCGCCGTGATATTCGTGATCCATCAGCTATTCTACTTCAAAGAATTGAATCAAGATACCGTAGGCAAGTTGATTGCCGGCTCGGTGAAAGACACCCATCGTATGGTCATCGGCAAGCGGGTTGACAAATGGAATCAACCATATCATTCGAAACTCATTCGCGACACAAATGGTCGAACGGTGTCATTGCGTGGCACACGGGATCAGGATATAGCCAAATACCTTCCCAATATCAATGGGAAATTTGTATGTTTTGTTTCGAAGAAGGAGATTGATTTTATAAGGATCAATGATGATTATTGTGACTGTCCAATGGACGGTAGTGATGAACCAGGTACTAATGCCTGCAACAATGGTTTCTTTAATTGCGAGAAAAGTTCAAGAAAGTCAGCAGGTATTGCAGTCAAATCTTTTTGCAATATATAAAATTTGCAATGTTAGAAGCTACACAACGGAAGTAATTTATGAAATTTGTATAAATTTTCAGTAAGAATACCATCGTACAAAGTCAATGATGGACATTGTGATTGTTGTGATGGTTCTGATGAATGGGCTGAAGCTGCAGTGTTGTATAAACTCAGTAGTAAGTTCAATTTATTTATATTTTTTTCAATTTATTTATGTGAACGTATATGAAATAATTATAATATCTATTGTATTTGTTATAATTTAGACTTACTTATTATTTGTATTTATTACAGAATTAAAAATAACTTTTTATGGACCTAGATGTCCAAACAAATGTTAGTGAAGAAAGTGAAGTATAATTCAAATCGGGGGGGAGGGGGGGGGAAGAAAGTGCTTCTTAATTTATGCACCGTAACAAGAATGACAACAACCAAATATACATAATAGATAAATGCATAGAATATTTTTTTCATTTTAGATTTTCATTTTAGATTTTCATAAAAGTATATTTGTTTAATCACATAAAAACAAGGTTATGTAGTAAAAATGATCACTCAATATTATAAAAAAATGATATATGAGATTCTTTAGATTAAGAAGTTATTTTTTAATTTAATGAATTAAAAAATTATTATCATTAAATCATTATTTTTTAGTTTTAATGTATTATAATTAAGAAGAGAATATAATTTCTTATTTTTCTTTCATTTAAATTGAATTGAAAGAAACAGTTTATTAATATATTTAAAGATGGTTATGAAGAAAAAGAAGTAATAGATTTAAGAAAGTATATTTGAGAAAATAAATAAGTAATACAAATTTTTTTTTCAAACTCTTTTTCAACTCATAGAGTATTATATTTATTTATGAAGAATAGATATCTCAAAGATTAATGTAATAAGAACTATTGTAACTATACACAGAGATAGTCTTTTTTTATACAGATATTCCTCTGTTGTAATATTATGTACTATCTAGAGAGTTTATATATTATTTTACTGTATATATATTTTTTGTCGTATATATATAATTTTTTTACATTTTCTGCTTCATACTTACGAAGATAGATGTTATTTAATTATTACTAATAATTAAAAAAGAAAATAAGATTTATATAAAAAGAAGAAACAATAACAGCTTTATCATATTTTCTCAGATTGTTAAATAAAATAAACATTTATAGTTTTTATTAGTTTTAATTAGTAATTGTTCAAAGATATTATACATATCATATAAGCAACAAAACAATATATTTAATAAAAAATTGTACAACGTAAAGAATATTGTATGTAAATATACAGTTTATCATATTTAACAGATTTCTATTACTTATAGGACTAGAGATTAAGAGTGTATTATTAAAATATAAATAATAATCAATATGTACATTGCGAAAATAGATTTTGTATAAATTATGAAATAGTTCGCAATACAGAAATATCAATTATAATAATTGTTAACAAGATCATAATTTTTACATGACTTTATATTTTACTTTGATCCTGATGATGTAAAGGAATTGCGATCTATTTTATGATTCATAATACAACTTCAAGCACAAATGCTCGATTATACCATAAATTTAGAGAAGAATATGATAGTTTTATTGCATGTTACTTCTGATATCTGTAAGAACATTGAAATGCGATGAGAGACTTCGCGCTTTATCTCCAAAATGTAAAGTTTGTTGTACAGATACTCCCATCCTTTGTAAGGTATCATTGAAGCTCTTTTCTTCCATCTGAATCCATGGTCGATGTTTGTCTTGCATTTGATATGGCGTTACATGTATGTGAGTATTTATTCCTGAAAAAGATATTTAATCACATTTTATAAACATAATATATTGAAAAATCTCATTATTTCGAGATATTTCCAAATTATCTCACTTAATTTAGCAAAGGAACGAAGTATATCCTCATTTGTAATCCATGTATTTTTGGGACCATTGTGTCCGCCATCTAACCACCACATATCTTTGATAAGTTTGATAAAATTATTTATATTGGGATCATTATTCAAGTCATTATCGTAATGATGAAATTCATAAAGAAACTGATTCAAAACTGCACATCCCTTACTGAAGCCCATCAAACTTAAGTTTGTAACTTCGATATTATAGATATCAGTATCCTTAAAATATTAAAATATTATGTATTCAGTAAATCAATGTTATACTCAATGCACGCAATGTATTATATCTTTTAAGGACATTGTCAAGATACAAGTTATAACTATAGTTGTACATACATTAAAGTTGGAGGAAGTTATTAATGTAATAATGATTTATAAAATTTTTCATGAATTATGATTCGTTTATGTCTAATACATACTTCTCCAATCTTTAATGTTTTAACATGTTCTAAGCAACAAGTAATAAGATCTTTTAAATGCCTTAAAGCATTGTACATTGGGCAAAATGTGGGTGTGCCATATGTATCTCCTGATACAAAATTATCGAAACAACTGAATACTGCGTGTTTAGATATTGTCATCCTGAAACAAGTATCAAGTTCTTGCATACTAAATTCGATCTAAACATGGCAGTTAAGAAAATCATTTAGCATTTTTCTAATCTATGTAATTTTTATGGAGTACCTAGAAGAGGTTATATATCATTCAGAAATATTGTAATATTTTTGTGCACATGATAATATCTTACCTTGATGGACGAATAACAAATACATGACTTCCAGGAAACTGTTTAGATAGTACAGTCGCTGTATTTTCTAAGCTCCATTTTGCATATTTCTTGCTGTCTGAATGCTTTTCCATGTTTTTTTGAATATCCTGTAATAATTTTTAATAATTTTGTTAATATAAAAGTCATAGTAGTATCATAAAAGTTATTATAAAATCAATATAAATATAATACCAACAAAAATCATTAATAGATATATATAGTTAATAATTCTAAAATATATCTTGTATATTCTACATAATTATCCTTAGTGCGTACAATAAATATTTTACATTACATTTGAAAGAACAGGAATTATTATATAATTTTTAAAAACAAAAATTGACAAGTGTTTCTGAACGTACATACTTGGACGTCGCCGCCAAAAAATATAAGAAGATCGTGTGTTGACTGCAATTTCGGCCGTGTATAAACTACATCGTTACATCGACCTGAAATGCCCGGTATGTTTTTCCACATCCAAATTTTCGAGCCCATCGGCCACTATTTGCAAGAGAAATAAATCAGAAAGAAGTCCGCGTTTTCACAAAAATGGAATATTGCTCAACAGTCTGATAATTGGAGCAAATGCTGATTAAAATGGCATTGTAAATCGATTGCGTGAACAATTGTGTAAAATTGCGTCGTAACTACGAAGGTATGAAGTCTATTTTGATTTGCGTTTTCCTGCACTTTTTGTATTCAAAGTGACAGATGTGATTAGGGTACGATTCACTTCATATTGTAAATGTTTTAAAGCATTTTTTTATTAGTTAATTCGTAAAATTCTTTCTTCTGATTGAATAGCGAAGCATTTGCAATTTAGGATGCATTTGTACTGACCGTATGCTGCATACTATAATCTATAAGATAGACCAATCACAGTCGCATATTCCTCTCTTAAACTGGTTCTACATTAATTGCAAGCTGATCGCAAGTTTGTTGCGACAGCCAATCTGAAGCTTGCATTTTGAAATCAACATTTCGTATTGGCTGTATCGTAACAAACTTGCGATCGATTTGCAATTAATATAGAACTGGCTATAGAAGTCGTAACGATCGTAGAGTCTTAAGTCATAGAAAATTGATCAATTATAGTCGATTATTCTTCTCCTGTTCGACTGTAATTAGTTTTCTACAACTTAACGTGGGATCTACAATAGAAATCGTAGTGATAATAGGGTGTAGAAAATTAATCAATCATAGTCGAATATAAGAAAAATAATAGATTGGGATTGATTAATTTTCTACGATTTAGGACAACTGTTACCAACGTCGATTAACTTAATCGATGATTAACTCAATCAGCAATATAGTCAACAGCAAGACTGTATATTATTAACCTTATCTCTTTGTGATATATTTCTATCTTTGCGTTTTCTTTATCTGTGATAAAAATAATGAAAATCTTCTATCTATAATAATAATTCTGTTGAATGAATTAATCGTCCATTAAGTTAATCGACGTTGATAACAGTCAGCCTTATGACTGCGATTTTTATTGTAGACCTCATATTAAAAATTAGTCACAGTCGAATGTGAGAAGAATAATCGACTATGATTGGTCATTCCTTAAAGTATTTAAAGGGTTATGCAAAAATCTGTGTTGCGGTCTTAAAAAAGAGCGCTGGGCATCAACATGAAAAGGCACCTTAATTCGACAATGGAGTATAATAATACGGCGCGCTACTCGAAAATATATATGTATATCTCCTCATCTCGCTTCAGCACGGTGTGACTTCGCGGAAAGGAACATGACATCTGCAGAAATATCAGGCGCGATCTCGGTGAAATTTTCGAGACAATCGCGTTTCGCGATGATTAATTTAAAAGCGAAATCAGGCATTACGAATCCTTGGAGATTATTGGCGCGCAATTACGAAATACCATCTCTGATTCCGACAGCGGTAAGCAATAAGATAAGCAAGTGATACTCCATGTAATGAATAATGTACAACGTAGTAATGAGACATGAAACAGTTCTCTCAGTTTACTGGTGCACTTCGCGAGTACACGTTTCGAATATTCAAATGAGACAGCGTGAGTTTGTAAATGAATTATACAGCACTCGACAGACAAGTGACAAGTGACAATTACATGAAAAAGTGAGGATCTGCGAAGTGTGAGGACGAACGTTGAGTAACTTGAAACAACTTGAAGTGTTTAACACAGCAGATAGACTTTCCCTTTCCTTGCTGCGTCGTTTTTCTGATTTTTATTGCGGAGAAGATTTCAAGGCATGAGAAAATCACCTATCGGTGTCATGTTACGTAAACTCATGTCGCGGAATTACCTGTGTTTTAACCTTGACCTTTTTGCTCAACACTTTTTAGTGATGGGACACGTTACGTCGGATCGTACGATGCAACAGGAGTTAATATCAACATGGAATCCACTAGACGTATTCCAGGATGATGCACATTGTGAATACGCGGTGATCGTGCTGAATCGTCCCATACGCTGGCAGCACAACGTACTACTTCGATTCTGGCAAAAAGGTTGTACATTGACTGAAAATATCTTACGCTTGTTTTTGTTAGAGCTTTTGCACAAGAATGATCGAAATTGAGTTGTGAACGTTAATCGTAGTCGTAGATCAATATACAATGTTTTGTACCTTTTCTACGATAAGGTCATAAGCTGTGAGAAATTAGCCAATCACAGTCAAATATGAAACAAATGATTGATTATGATTGATTAGTTTTTTCTTTTCAATTTACAGTCTTATTGTAGAATAGGCTTAAATCAACTTACAACTATGACTTATGTTCCACAACTCAGTTACAGTCATCTTTGTATTTAGTTCTTTATTTATTGAATGTCAAGAAAGATAGAATAATGCTTATGTCAACTTGTGTCATCAAATAGAAAATGATTAACGAGAAACTACAAGCAAGTAAAACAATTTATGTTGTTGATTTATGTATCTCTTTGCATAAGCAGCTCGAATCACCATCACTGTGGATGGTGGAACACAGAGGTGGCTGAAGCATCTGGAAGAACAGGGAATAAACGCATTGAACACTGAGCACAAGCATTATGCACCAGATCTCATCACAGGGGATATGGATAGCTGTCCACCTTATATTGTTGAGAAGTTTGAAAGTATAGGATCCATTGTCATCAAGACTCCTGATCAGGATAACACAGATTATACCAAAGCTCTGCTGGAAGTCGCACACTATGCTAAGATGCATAATATAAATGTAATCATTTAGATTCTTATTGTTGCTTTTTTAAATTAATGGTTATATGATGAAATATATGAATATTGAAATATATATGAAATATATGAAATATGTGATATTTTTTGGCAGTTAGGTGAAATATACGTACTTGCAGAAACATCAGGCAGATTTGATCATATCATTGCCAATGTCAATACTCTATACAAAAGTGATAAGCTTGTGGGAAATACACGGGTAGAGTTTTTTTTATTTGAAAAACTTGTGATTATATTAAGTGTATTCTCCATATTAGATATATTCTGATTGAAGATTGTTTTTACAGGTGATACAACTTGCAAGCAATTCTATGACATGGATATTAAAACCTGGTATGCATAGTATACATATACCAGAAATTTTGGTTCAACAAAAATCTTGGTGTGGTTTACTACCATTTGGTTGTACTGTCAATTGTATATCAACGACTGGCTTGAAATGGAATTTAAGTATGTTTTATATCTCATTTATCTTGAAGTAAACCATTTATATTACATTACGTAAATATTTTATTATCTGTTATTTGAATAATTTTTTTGAATTCTATTTTTTTTCCTTATATTTCAGATAAAACAACTATGCAATTTGGAGGTTTGATAAGTACTTCAAATACTTATGAAGATTCCAAAGTGACTGTGGATACAGATACGCCGGTAATTTGGACTATGGGTATAGAATTTCTAGGGAAAGTATAAATAAAATATCTGTAATGTTATTCTGCTAATGTGATTATAAGATAATAACGCAGTTATAAGTAATAAGTGATGCAAATTCAGACATGGTCTAATTCAAATACTAAATATTAGCTAAAGTTAAATTTAAAATATTCTATTTGAACAATAGTAAACTGAAATGATAATTTTTTATTTTAAAAATCAGTTTTAAATTAGAGTGCTTTCTAGAAACTTATATAAGCGACATTGTAACACAGTGTATGATATGGAAGGACGATACAATGTCGCTATTTTAAATATTGATACTTTTTTTCCCGATATTTTGTCTTTCGATATATGTATTGACATTTGAACGGGAATATTGAATTTCTGATACGATCCATGAAGCCTGTGTTAATGTAGTACAGATTGATATTGAATTGCAAGTTGACCAATCGGAGCAAAATTACTAAACTTTAAATTAGTTTGGTGCATTTGGGGTTATTAGCGCTATTTCTGTCATTTTTTTTTCGTCGTTTATTAGATAACAAGGATGAAATCAAAGAAGGAATCTTCTTTATGGAGAATATAGAGTTTTCCACTCCAGAATTTTTGAAATGGATGAATTCCAGAATTTGATGATAAAAAAAATTGTCAATTTTTACAAATTTTAAAAAATTTTGTGATTTGACAAAAAACAGTATTTGATGATTAGGTAATATGTAAAAATATAATTTGCATATACAACAAAAGAGATAAAATATTTGTTATTTTGATATCCTCTTCCCGTTTGGATCCGTTTGGACTTTCCACCCATTAAAGTTTCCATCACTGGATAGAACGACATGAATAGTGCTAGCATTTCTCCGAATGCACTTTGTCTTCTGCTCAAGAGTATGTTTGAATTCCAACCTTTTTGTTTTAGCGGAAATAAAATAGTGTATGACTGTGTTCCATTGCTGGAAAACATCCTAATTTTTTGATGGCATCATTGGTATCATTGTGGAATCTGTATCTATTAAAATAATGTGTGATAGCAATGAATTGAATCATTTTACTTGTATACACGAGTCTTGTTGGGAAATAGAGTTATCATTTAACATAAAAATTGATTAGTCAAACATAAATTATTGGGTTGTCATGGAAAGTTCATGCTGATGTTGAAGGAAAATTGAAACATAGAAAATTTTAATTTAATAAATGTATACTAAAATTTAAATTTTAGTCGGCACTTTCCGGACAACCCAATATGTATGAATGATATTGTATTTATATTAGCTAGAAATTTACGAATTTTTTTACAACTGTTTTACATATAAATCATAATATCAAATATCATGAGTGCTTTTTAACAATGGACACAATCTTATACTGTGTGACATAGAATGTTTTCCAAACATACACAATATGATAGTTTTGAAAAGTTGGTAATAATGATATATTTCACACGCTCGTATGTAACTTTTTACAGTGTCGAGTAGTGTAATCTTGTGTCATAGGTGGAATACTTTATGTAAAACAGTATTACACAGATGACAGTGTAATACTGTTTTACATAAAGTATTCCACCTATGACACAAGATTACACTACTCGACACTGTAAAAAGTTACATACGAGTGTGTGAAATATGTCATTATTACCAATTTTTCAAAAAGTTATTTGGTAGTCGTATTTATTTTATAATATAATCTTCAAAAATTGTCAATTCTAAAAAATATTATAATTTAAAGGAATATTCTAGTCTAGAAGGCGAATTTTTATGCTATTTTTGCGAATTTAAAAAAAATATAAGATAAAGTTTTTTTGGACAGGTTTTTTTGTACATATTTATACATATTTGAAGAATTTCAGAATTTTTTTATTAAAAGATAATTAGTAAAATATATAAAAAAGCCTATCAGAGCCTACATTAGCTGTTCGGATGTACAGAAAACACTATTCTTGTGTGAAATGTAACAAAATGAATCAAATATAAACATTTTGATTTGAAGATGGTGATTCCCGACAACTTAACTCGTTCTTTATCCAAATGCCAAATTAACTATGTAATGAATTATATATAATTATACAAAGGATTATCAAAAATTATTAACTTATACAATAATAATATAAAAACTTATATAAAATAAAATAAAATCGGAGTCAAATACATTGTCATCTTGGAATTTGCGTTACTTATGTAATTTAGATTTATATTTTATATTGATAAGGATTCAAATTGAAGGGTCGAAACATTTATATTTGATTTGTTTTGTTCCACATGAGAATAAAGTATTTTTTGTGTCTCCGAACAACTTATGTAGATTCTAATGGGCTTTTTTTATATTTTTTATTGATAGATTCTTTCGAGCCTCATTTTATATATTTGTTTAAAAAATAATTGTTAATATACGCTGTATAAAATATTAAGTAACATCATGAAAAATAAGACTCTATGGCTGTCATGATTCCAGCTCTTTTGCTCATTTGAAACAAAAGAACTAAAGAAATTCTTAATTAGTATGAGTTTGGTTATAGCAGGTACGAAGAAAAAATATTAATAATTTAAAAAATGTCATATCGAAAATTAAATTTCGATTTTTGCCTTTTTTTTCACCAAAATGATTGTAAAAATTACAAAAATATATATTTCAATTTGATTGTAGTATGGGCTATAGCCATATATGTGCTGAAAATATGTGTACATATTTTCCCGACTCGATTGGTCAACTGGTTTTCGAGATGAGAGCCAATTTGAAAAACATGGTTTCGAGAACATGGTTTTTTTGTACTGTTATATAGAGATAGCTAGAATCCTCTTTTTTTCCCATGTTCTGTTGCCGGAAACCGTTAAATGTGTTACAACATTTCCAGCTTCTTCATTTTTCTCATCACTAAATTCTTTTGAAATAGGAAAGTTGATATCTTTCGAACTTCGCAATTTTTTTTTTACCCGTTAGACTAAAATATCTAAATGAAAATCGTATACCTACTATTGATATGATAAATATAATCATAAGAATAAGAATGGGAGATTACAATGTATTCTGATGTTACACTGTGAAACTGAACTGCATTCCAACAAGTATTTTACACAGTGTAATGTTCTGTATCCTAGCTGGAAAACAGCCATGTCATTTCTTTATTGAAAGGTATCTAATATCGATTTGTAATTGAAACGATTTTATTTCTTTGCCAGAGTGAAATAAAAGGTCTCACATAAGTAGTCTTACATATGAATATCCGAATGTAATTTTGAAACCTTTTATTGAGGTATTCCTAGAAAAAAAATAATAAAAATGTAAAACTTTGGTATTCATGAAATGATATAAAATGGCGACACAATTGAACACAACATTTTAACTGTGTATGATTGTATTGATTTGTGTCATAATTAGAAAACATAGAACCGTGCACTGTGTTACACAGTATCGTGTAAGTTACTGAAAAGTACATATTATCAGGCATTCTTAAATATAGGTTCAATATATTTATCATAATTGTTGCGAAATGCAATGAAATAATCTTGTAATATATTGTTATGTTCGCATTCCAATTTAAATGATATTAGTTAAAAAGAGTACAAACTAGTTTATTATAGTTAAAAGTTCCTATTTGCGCGTACGAAGTCAGAGTCATAGTAAAGTCACATGACAATATATGTATATATATATATGATTGTACTAATTTATCGATTCCAAAACAGATTATAGTTTTATACTATACAATCTTTTACTTAATATTCTTTTATTTAAAGCTTTTAATTTTTATTCAAAACTTTTTCTTTTATTCGGAGCTTTTAGTTTTTCACTCTTTTATAATTTATAAAATACGGAATAAGAACTCGCGATCATTGACGAATCGACTATACAGAACCAAAGTAAAGCGACGTAATAATAATATATGATTTTAAATTTTAAACTAAATTTTTTTACATAGAAATTGTATAGCTATAGAAGACTAAAAAAAAGTGTTTACTTTCATTTGCATACTTTCATTTGTTTTCCATAGTATGTATTATTAGATTTCTGATTTTTACTACATGTACTAGTGCTAATTTAGCTTATAGTGAAAAACAATATTTGTCTAGATAACACAAAAGTCTAAAAGATATCGTAAAGATACAAAAGTTTTTTTAAATAAATATTTTAATGTTTTGTGTTGTCTGGACAATCAAAATATTTTTTACATTGCACACGATTTGTATTATTTTAATAGATTTTTGTACACATACAGCACATGATGTAAGAAGTTTATGAAAATCAAATATATCTCGTTAAATCTTTTTCGAATGTTTCTAGGTAACACAACAAAACTTGTTCATTGCAAGTATTTATTTGGCACAGTGAGAGCGTCGAGTCGAAATAGTATCCCCCAGACAGTACCTGTCTATAATACTCGACGTATGTATTCGTATAACAGCAGGTCGCTGCCGCCACTATCGGGGCTAGAATCGGAGCGTGTACTTCGACGATCAGCTGTCGCGATTGTTTACATTTGTCGGCCGAGTGCCGGCTTGTGGTGGGGTTGAGAGTTGAGACCATCGTCCAGTTTCTTTCGGTCTGTCGCGTCGTGTGGTTCACGTAATCTACGAGTGCTTATCGTGCCTTATCGTCGCGCTGTCGCGCGGTATCGAACAAATGCCAGCGCGCACTTTTCTGTGTTTTCCAGAATTGGGTAAGCTTGTAACCCGCTGACGCGACTATAAGTCATAGCGAGTGTATAAAGAGGGCACGTATCTATAATAAAATATTTCTTGAAGATATTTATCTAATGAGTATTATATAGCGAGTAAAAATATAATGTTTTAAAGTAATATCTGAGCTAATACGCCGGTTAATATATATAT